CGGCATGCCGCCCGCAATCCGACGGACAGACCGAACGATGGAGCAGCTGATTCGCACGACATGCACAGTCCCGACCCTGTGGGAGAACGCCCTTCTTTTGATCGATTTTGCTTACAACAACGCTCCATCAGCCACGACCACTTAGTCACTGTTCTTCCTACATTATGGGATAGATCCGGTAACCCCTCTATCGCCACCGATAGAAAACCTGGCACCAAGATCTCAGCAGTTCGTAAAAAATATCTAACAGTCTCACCAAAAAGTCGCCGATGCCATCCTAAAAGCCAACCCAGATGGCTAAGCAGCGAAGTTTTCCCCAGGGCAATTGGTCTTACTCGACACCCGAAATTTGGGGATTCCTCACCCAGATCAATTACGACTAAGATTTTGCGGGCCATTCCGCATTATCCGAATGGTGACACCAGTCACCGCCCAGCTGCAACTGCCTGCTGACTGGCGAATCCATGATTCGTTCCACGCCAGTCTCCTGCGATCGTTCGTCCCGAATGCCACTAATCTTGACCGTCAACACATCAATCCTACGGTCAACCCAGTACCCGAGCCAACTACCGAGCCGGCCAAGATTCTCGCTCACCGCGTACGTGGTTGCTGAGACACTACAGTCGTTGATTTCTATCAATAAGTACATACGTTGTAAGTGTAGTCGTGGCCCTAGCTAGCCACGCAGGCCCCGGCTCGCCGCACTGGCCCCAGCTCACCGCGTCGATCACTGCTCGCTGCGCCGTCGCACCTCACCGTGTCGGCTCCAGCTAGCCGCGTCGGCCCCAGCTCGCCGCGCCGACCCTTACTCGCCGTGTCGGCTCCAGCTCGCCGCGTCATCCCCAGCTAGCTGCGTCGGCCCCAGCTCGCCACGCCGGCCCCTGCCAGCTGCGCCGGACCCCTGCTCGCTACCGGCCCCAGCTCGCTGCCGGCCCTGGTGTCTCCTCAGCGCTGGCGCCCTCGCCGGCCGTCTGCTCTCCCGCGTCTTCACCGCACTCCATTACACTCCACCGTACTCCAGCGCTCTCCACCGCTCTTTACTGCACTCTACCTTACCCGCTTGCTTACTTCTCCACCTCCTCCTGAGTTCTACAGCTGCTGCAGCTGTGCGTGATGGCTGACGACGTTCTCCGCCTGGACGTAGAGGGTCGTGCGGTAGATTTCGAGGCGTGGCTCGCCGACTTGCGCCACCAGTTGAAGGGTCAGCGCTAGGATGGCCAGTCTCTAGCCGTCTGTGTCGACGGTAAGCTGCCCTCCCCCCCGCGCCTGCTGCCCTTGCTGACGCGACGTCTGCTGAGCGTGATGTTTTCACAGCTGCTGAGCTCGCCCGCTCTGTCTGGGATTCGTGTGACGCCACTACGCAGCTAGCTATCAGTCACGCTCTCCCACTGTCCGAGCGTCCCTGCTTTTAGGCCCTAGAGACGGCCAAGGAGTACCTAGTCGCTGTCATTGCTCACAATTCCACTCCCTCCTCCGCCTCTGCTGGTCGCCTCCTCTTGGCCCTGCTCTTTCCTGATCTCACGTCCTTTCCCACTGCCGCTGATCTTGCCACTCACCTACGTGTGCTTGAGATTAGCAACCGCGCTGCTAGCACTGAGGCTCAACTCACTGTAATTCCTCCCCCCCTTGACGCTACGCTTTATTTCCTAGCCACGCGCTTCCCTGACTACCTAGCCACTGACCGCAACACCTTCCTTAGCCTCCACCCCGCTGACCTCACCCTTAGCGACTTCGTCGCCACCCTGTCGGTTATAGAGACCCGCAAGCGCATTATCGCCCAATCTAGCGATACTCCGGCGGTCCCTATCTTCCAAGGCTGTGCTCTCTCCCAGTGCACTTACTCTGACGTTTCCACTGCTGTCTCTGAGACCGCCGCAGCGGCCTCAGCGCAGCCTCGTCAGGGTAAGGGCTGTTGCCCCAGCGGGGGGCATGGGCGAGGAAGGGGTGGCGGGGGTGGCGTGGGTCACAAAGGTGGTGGAGATGGTGCTAGCGCAGGAGATGCTGAGGGGGTGGGAGCTGACGCCCCAGAGCAGCAGCCCCAGAAGCAGCAGCAGCAGTGGGGGGGCCCCACCGCCACGGTGGCCCGGAGGCTTTGGTGGTGGTGGCCGCGGAGGCGGCCCTCGCAGCTTGACGTCGGGTGGCGGCTCCATCCCTGTGAGTTGCCAGTACCAGCTTCCGACTGGTCCCCTTTATGGCACCGTGTGTGACCGTCCCGGTCACACCGCTACCCGCTGCTACTACCGCCTCGATGATACCTTCCGACTCCGCTTCGGGCCCACGCTGTCCCTCCCGGATTTGCCTAGCCTGGTACGTTGTCGTGTGCCGGTCTTTGAGTTAGACATGGATCAGATTCGTTCTGCTATGTATGCCATGTATCCTGTTGACTCTTATGTGACTGGGCCTTATTACCCTATGTTGCCTAGCCTAGGTGTGCCTGCTATGTGTAGTCTACGCTCCCCTACTGCATCATGCATAGGATCTCCTGCCTTGTTTAGCCTTGGCTCCATGCTAGTGCCATCGCCGACTGACGTGACCGCTGCGCTCTCCTTCACGCTGGACTCTAATGCGTCTGACTGCTTCTTTCGCAACCACACCACTCTCACGCCGCTTGCCGCCCCAGCAGCTGTCTCCCTTGCTGACCCTTCCTCCCGTCCAGTAGTTGCATATAGCTCCATCACACTTCCTTGTCTGGCGGTTCCCTTGAGCTCTCTACGTTCCTAGGACACGAGTGGGCTGCAGTCTGTACCGAGGCCGCCTCTGGTGCCCCCCTCACAACGTTCCCCCAGGACCTTGTGTATGGCTTGTTCATGATGGAAACCGCGTCCCCCCTGGTGGGGGAGGCCCCCCAGGTGGCTGCGTCTATCCAGGTCGCTGCGGCTTGCTCGTGTCAGTCGCTCACGGACCCGTCGCTTCCGTGGCACCACCCACTCTACCACGTCTTCGTCACATGTCCCAGCACGTTCTTGTCTGAGGTCTCCCTGTGTCGCTCCCTGCCCTCCCTCCCTCGCCTGCGCCTTCTTGCACGCCTTGTGTCGAGGGCCGGCTACACCGTGCTCCTCACTCCTCCTCGTTTCCCCCCACTACTGCCCCACTCCAGACCAGGGCTAATTTTCCGTTTTTCAAAACCCAGCGGTCTCAGGATTCGCGTCACTAAAGATCCTGAAAATTCAGCACTCCCTAGGAAATCTCTCTTTATTTCAGGATTACTTTGACCTTCAATCTGAAAATCAGAGTGTTTTTTTGGAATCCCTACATATCAGCGGAACCTGTGGGCACTTCGAGTACAAGCAGGAAGGACATCGATGGAAGAAACGATGTAGAAGAATACAGATCACACGCTTGTTGCTGCTGCTGTCCCTCACCACCACACCAAGTTCGACTCTTTCCTTAATCGCAATAGAAATGCATACAACTTGGAGGGACAGTGCGCAACCTGGCTAAGGAATTAAGGGGTTGTGATAAGTCTGACAGCCTTGCACTTCTGGAATTGTGAAAGATCCACGGATCGCACCTTCAGACTGCGTGGAAAATTGGTCAGGGTTGCGAAGGAATTGGGGGGGGGGGAGGGGGGAAAGGGTAGGGTTGCAATTCCAGCACGGGTAGTTTCCGTGCCAGTCGGATGGCCAGGATAAATTTTCGCGCAATCCGGATTGCTCAGGGAGTTCCTTGGAAACACCAAGAATCAGTCAGGAGGTTTGTGAGTCTGAAACCCTCAAAATCAGGATTTCAGCGGGAAAGACCCCGAATGTACCTGACATTCCGGGTGTTTACCCTTGAACCGAGAGCCCTGCTCCAGACCCTCCACTTGGACGTCTTGGGCCCAGCCCCCATCCTTGGGTCGCGTCGTGAGCGTTACTTTCTGGTGCTCGTAGATGACTACACGCGCTACACCACGCTGTTTCCCCTGGAGCGGAAGGCCGACGTGCCTGACATTCTTATCCCGTGGCTTGTAGCTGCGTGTGTCCACCACGCCCTGCCAGTGCTCCATCTCCACTCCGACCGTAGCGGTGAGTTCGCCTCCGGTGGGCTTGACCAGTTCTGTCGTGCGAAGGGCATCACCCAATCGTACTCACTGCCAGACTCCCCGCAGCAGAATGGGGTCGTTGAGCAACGCATCAGTTTGGTCATGGAGGTGGCTCGTACCTCCATGATTCATGCAAGTGCACCTCATTTTCTGTGGCCGTTCACAGTGCGCTACGCTGCTTACCAGCTTAATCTGTGGCCGCACTCCCAACAGCCACAGGATTGGCCAAACCTTCTTTGGTCTGGGTCCCTTGGAGACGCGTCTGCGTTTCATGTCTGGGGGTTCCTCGCTCACGTCCGCGACTCTCGCGCGGACAAGCTCACTACCCGCACAATCCTCTGTGTCTTTCTTGGCTTCCCCTTGGACGCTTCTGACTGGAACTTCTACCACCCGCCGTCTCACCGCTTCTTTCACTTGCGTGACATCACCTTTGACGAGTTTGTGTCCATCTACACCCGCTTTCCCCACCAAGGTCTCCTGGTTACCCTGCCCTTGTTCCTTGTCCCCACTCCCCCAGTAGCTCCCGCTCCCCGTCGTGCCCCGTTTGGTGTGTCTTACGTCACTCCCCTTCCCTCGGTTTGCCCGGCGGAGGAGTCTACTAACACTGGGGGCGCTGAGGCTCAAAGCAAGCCCCCCCTTGGCCCCGGTGTCTCCTCTGCCGCCACAGCAGCCGCAGTCGCCGCCGCAGCCGCAACCACAGCCGTCGTTGCCGCAGCAACAGCAGCAGCAGCCGCAGCAAGGGTCAGTTGGCTCTGGGGGTGCAACTGCTCACTTCCTACTTTCTATATATTGCTGTATGCTTGTTCTTTTAATCAATCACTTGTTCTCACATACTAGTACAAGGGTTCAACTACTCAACTTCCGCTGCACTACTCAAGTCTCCTTACAACTGGGACTTAGTCTCTGGAAAGATCTTAAGGGCATTTCTCAGCCCAACATCTTCCAATGGCCGGACTAGTAGTGCCACTCTGGTTTGCTCTTGTCGTGTTTGTACTCTTGCTGACTGGTCTTCGGGCCCCTGCCTCAAAGGTCGGAGTAGTAATGCCATCCTGAGCTGCGTGTTCCTTGCTATGCACTGCCCCTTATCTAGCCTAGGGGGTGTGTCAACTTATACATGTGTAGTAGTTATAGGCTAGATAGATTTGTGTTCTTAGAGGGTACAACTCCAACCCTATATCTCCCCTGTACTCTCTTGTTCTAGTTCATTCTCCTATTCTAACAGCACGGTGCCTACGGCTGCCCCGCCAAGCCAACCCTCGCAGCGAGCCTCAGCTCCTCCATCCGTAGCACCGCCAAGTGCAGCTTCGTCACCGCCCCAGCAGCAGCGGCTGAAGGCGCGCTGCGCCGCTACTCTATCCTGTCACATCAAACCGCGCAGCGAGCGCGAGTTCCTCGGAGCGCTGCACGACGAAGTGCAGCTTGGCCACCACCTCCAGCAGCAGCGCCGCGAACTTGACGAGGGAGAGAGCGGCGATGCGCTCCACCGTGCGGTCCCACGCGCCGCCCATGGACGCCTGCCGCTGCAGCAGCTCCTGCCGCCACTCCGCCACCGACGGCTTCTTCCGCCCCATGCCGCCCACACTGCCCGCACTACCCGATGCCCTTTCCGTGCCCCCCTGCCCTGCTGCTGCACCCGCTGCTCCCCATGCGGCGGCATAGCCCGCCAGCCCCTCTGCCAGCGACATCTCCGATGGCGTCAGGGCCCCCATGCCTGCTGCTGCTGCAGTGCCGGGTGCAATGTGAGAGTCGGGTGTGGTGGTGGTGGGGGAGGGGGAGAGGCCGTGCGGGTGGCGGGGGGAGAGGCAGAGAGGACTGCCGGGGCGGGAGAGCCTGGAAGCAGGGAGGGGAGGAGGGGAGGAGGGAAGAGAGTGGAGAGTGGAGGGATTTGGGAAGCAGTGGGAGGGGATCGGGCATGCGGACGCAACGCAGCTGCTCACCACCGCTTACCTCTCACTCGCAGTTCCCACTTGTGTGTCGGCTCACATCTCATGCATGCACGTGTCACAACTCATGCATGCACGCTTCTCGTCTCATGCATGCCCTCGTCTCACCTCATGTATGCCCTCGTCTCACCTCTCTGCTCTGGGCGAAACAGGCTCCAGCAGCCTGCTCTTCCCTTGGCCCTCCTCCCCAGCGCCCTCTCTCTCCTCCTCCCCCCCCATGTCAATGCAGCTCCGCACCACCCCATCTCCATCCTCCGCCCATCTCCCCCCCTCCCCCTCCTCGCCCTCCCCGTGCACCACCATCCTGTCACCCACCCCTCCCCAGTTCTCCTCTCCGCCCCCCGCACTCACTCCGCCGCCCTCGGAGAGGCGTGAGAGCGGGAGGGGGTGGTGGGCGAGGTCGGGGGGCGGCAGCACGAGGATGAGCCCGATGTGCTTCGACAGCCGGTGCTGCAGCTTCATCGCAGCTTCCTCCGCGCGGAACAGCGACTCGGGCGGGCCCGCCCATGAGAAGGAGCGCACGGACTGCGCCAGGTACGCCAGCGTGCTGGAGGGGGTGGAAGGGGGGGGGGGCGTAGGAACGGGGATAGGGAGGAGGAGGGAGGGAAGCAGCCAGTGAAAGATGGGGAGCAAGTGGAGACATGAGGAGGGAGAGAGAAGGGCAGCCATGGTGACAGCGTGGGAATGGGAAATGAGATGCCTGCTCACCAAGGATGAATCAGGTCGGTTGATGCAAGCGATGGTGGAACAATGGAGAGGGACGGAAAGAGAAAATCCCTAGTGCCCGTCGTTCGCTCGACGGCTTAATGGAAGCACCACACTTGCACCTTCACCTGCCCTGCGCTCACCTCCTGCCCTCCCCTCACCTGCGGCACTCCTCAGCGATGCTGGTCATCTCTTTGCCCACCACGCGCCGCAGCACCAGCGGTGCCTGGATCTCGGCGCGCAGGCTGGAGTCCAGCGCGATGATGTCATAAACCAGGCAGCGCAGCGTGTCGGTGACGTCATCGTAGAGGTGCCACGGGTAGCCCGAGAAGAAGCGCCCATGAGGCGGCTCAAACGCTAGCGCTGCGAGCTGCTCACAGGGGGGGTTGGGAGGGGGAGGGAGGGAACGGGGAGGAGGGAAGCAGGGGGTCATGGAGGTTGAGAGGTTGAGGCGGCTCAAAGGAGATGGCAGCTAGCCGCAGGGTGTGGCAGGTATATAAACACCCCATCACCAGATGACTATACTAGTACCAGTTACACATATAGCTCTTCAAAAGTAGTGAAAACAGCAGAGGGGTGTGCGGCGGTGGGGGGTGGAGGCTGCTCACACAGGTGATGGTGGGCGGAGGGAGGGCGGGCTGAGGGGAGGGGGTGAGGGGAGGGGCTGGGGGAGGGGTTGGGGGAGGGGCTGAGGGGAGGGGTTGGGGGGAGGGGCTGAGGGGAGGGGTTGGGGGGAGGGGCTGAGGGGGAGGGGTTGGGGGGAGGGGCTGAGGGGAGGGGTTGGGGGGAGGGGCTGAGGGGAGGGGTTGGGGGGAGGGGCTGAGGGGAGGGGTTGGGGGGAGGGGCTGAGGGAAAGGGTGGGGGAGGAGGAGTGACTGACGTGTTTGTCGACCTCGGCGTCGCTCATCACGATGCCGTGGTACATCTCATGCATCTTGTCATCGCCGCCCGCGCCGCCCGCCGCACCCGTCCCTGCTGCTCCTCCTCCTGCTTTCCTCATGCTCCAGAGCGTGGGCACGTGCTGCCACACCGTGCCGCGCTCGTACTCCTCCACACACCTGCCACCCATGCCATGCCATGCCGTGCCGTGCCGTGCCGTGCCATGCCATAAGGAATACACGAGAAGAAATCAATGTTGTCATGCCATCCCCATCTGGAGCAAGCAACACTGGGCGAGCAACACTGGGCGAGCAGCACTGGGCGAGCAACACTGGGCGAGCAACACTGGGCGAGCAACACTGGGCGAGCAACACTGGGCGAGCAACGAAGCCCAGAGCGCAGAGCGGGCATCGAGACGGCAGCCTGCTCCATTGCCGTCTGCCGTCTGGCCAAAAGGCGTCGCTGCATCAATCAAGGGTGGCAGCGCTTCTAAAACAGTCAGACAAAACTGCCCCTTCAAGTGTGCATGTCCCTTGCCCACCTGGACAGCAGAGTGGCGGTGGAGTGGAAGTGCTTAGAGGGCAGCAGGCAGGGTGTCGCCGGCGAAGGTTGAGCGGAGCAATCCCCATTTCCTACTCTTTTTGAGGCGCCTCAAAGAGCGGAGCAATCCCCATTTCCTACTCTTTTTGAGGCGCCTCAAAGAGCGGAGCAATCCCCATTTCCTACTCACCTGGACAGCAGGGTAGCGGCGGAGTCGAAGTTCTTGGAGAGCAGTGCATGCAGGGTGTCCCCGGCATAGGCGGGGAGCAGTGCGAGGTTGATGAGGGCGGCGATGAGGAAGCCCAGCACGATCATCGTGAACCGCGCCAACGGCATCTGCAGCTTCTCGGGGTGGCGGTACGTGGAGAGGAGGAGGATGTGGAACGTCAGCATCATGATGGTCATGGCGTACGTCCACCTGGGGGGAGAGAGGGCAGGAGGAGGGGGGGGGAGGAGATGGGGGATGAGGGGGACGGTGTCAGGGCCCTGACTGTGAAAGCATGGTTTGGGTTTTGGGCGGTGAGTGTGAAAGCACGGTTTGGGTTTTGGGCGGTGAGTGTGAAAGCACGGTTTGGGTTTTGGGCGGTGAGTGTGAAAGCAAGAGTGTGAAGCCAGCTTCGCCCCCACCTCTGTCTCTCGCTTGCCACCCCAGCGTGGGCCTGGCCCTGACCTGTCTTTGAAGGGCGGGCGGTTGCGGTAGTAGATGGGGATGGCGGCGCCCAGGAAGACCAGCAGCAGCAGCACCGCCACGTGCAGCCCGCCGAGGAGAGGCGCCACCTGCGTCACCAACAGCGCCAGCATGCCCGCCAGCAGCGTGCCCAGCGTGCGGTTCACTCCCTTGCTGGCAGGGGGAGGCGAGGGGGACGGGTTGCCACGGCGGGTGGGGGGAATGGGATGTTAAGAAGACGCGCTAGAAGTAATCCAGGGATGAAGAATTGGGTGCAGATTTCCAGTATGGGTTACCACTCTAGCAAGCAGAGACTAAGGGGCTGTCCAAACGTATATGCAATGACTCCGAAATTGAGTGTGCTGCACGCAATGCAACGATGAGTTAGCAGACTCAAATCCGCCGACCAACTCGGCCCGATGGAAGGCAGCGAGGGCGTGAGACTGACCCGAGAGACAGCCCAATGTTGGCCTCGAAGACCAGGTCCACGGTGACCACCGCCCACACCCCGATGGACGCCAGCGACGGCAGGCGGTCGTCCACGTCGATCACGCACAGCGACGCCGTCAGAGCCGCCGCGCCACCGCCCTTGAGCGCCAGCAGCACCAGCTTGGGGTTCGCCCTGGCGTCCGCCAGCTGGCGGGCGAAGAGGTCGGCCGTGCAGGCGGGCAGGCGGGCGATGGACGTGAGGACGAGGGAGATGATCGTGGCTGCCGCAGGGCGTGCGGGCGCGGAGGGGGGAGGAGCGCGTGGCAGGGGTGAGAGCACAGCAGCAGCGGTGGCAGCAGCACCAGGTTGGGAGAAGAGAGAATGAAGAGAGAATGAAGAGAGAATGAAGAGAGAATGAAGAGAGCGGATTTAGGGGGGGTGAGAAGGGAGGAGCGCATGTGCACGAGCAGGAACGGGAGGAGGGGAGAAGATGGGGGGACGGGTTGGAGGGGAGGAGGGGAAAGGGGGAAGGAGAGGGAAGGCACGTCACGCGCGTTCCCCTGGATGCCACTGAGACGAATGGAATCAGCCCCAACGACGCGTCTCACACCATATGCGCCATGCCCCATTCCACCAGCACCCCATAGCGCCCCGTTCACCCGCCATCTCCACACACCCCCATGCATCACCCCCACGCATCTCACCCACGCCGTGCCATACAGCCCACAGCCACCCCGCAATGCTGCCCACTGCGCCCCTCACCTCCTCCCCGCCCGCTCCCCCCCCCATCGCCCCTCCGCCCTGCCCCGCGCCCCCCTCGCTCGCCCTCATGCTGTGCTGCGTGCTGTCGCCCGCCGCCAGCCCCGAGAGGCGCGTGGCGCCCGCCGCCAGCCCCGTGCTGTGCTGCCGGGCGTCGCCTGACGACAGCCCCAGGGAGTGCTGCCGTGCGTAGTGGTACGACGACGTCGACCGCAGTAGCGCCTGCCACCGTTGCTCCCGCCCGCTGCTGCTCTCCCCCACCACCCCCGCCAGCCGCCTGCGGCCCTCTGCGCCCACCTCGCGCCGCCCTGCGCTCGCTCCTCTGGGAACAGATCCGCCGACTTGAGCCCCTTCCACTCCCGCGTCCCCCCGTCTGCTGCTGCCACTGCGGCTGCTACCCCCGTGCCGCCCTGCCGCGCCCACGCGTGTCTCCTCCGAGATCTCCCCACCCCCCTCCCTCCTCGCGCTCACTGGCTCGTCGCCATGGTCGCCATCGCTGTCGCTATCGTCGCCCGCGATTTGCCACAGCTTCTTTCGCGAAGGGCCCTTCGCGGCACCCAACTCTCCCTCGCCCGCATTTCTCCCCCCCGCCGGTTCATTCCTCCCTCCTCCTTCTCTCACCTCCGCCCCATTCTGTGCGCCCGTTCCGCCATCCCCTCCCCGATTCTCCCTTGAAACCCCCGCGCCAAGCGCACTCTCTCCTCCTTCCCCTTCCCCTTCTCCCACCAACTCCCCCCCAGCTGGCTCCGCCAGCGCCGCGAGCCCCAAGCCGGAGCCGCGCTGATCCCCCCTGGCCGCGGCGATCAGCCCCGAAGAGGGAGTCACGCGCGCGCCATCAGCGGCGGCAACGCCAGCACTGCCGCCCACGACGTCAGCAATGCCGGCGACGCCCGCCTGCACGAAGGGCGTCGAGAAGACGGCGCGCGGCGGCACGACGGCCACCGTGATGTGCTCCGCCGACGGCGACGCGGCGCTGCGGCCGGCCAGCACGGGCGGCGAGGAAGGCGCGCTCGATAGCAAGGGAACTTCGAGATCGTTGTCATGGCGGGGGTGCGCCATGTCGGGGTGGCGCGGAATGACGGCTGAATTCGCTGCTGTCGATCTGGATTCTCTTTTCTCAGCTTGCCATCGATTCACGGTGGGACTAAATCCTGTTGGAAAAAGTCGCTCCTTGCTGCCTTGGTTGGATTTGGAAGGCAGAGGGGTTTCGGTGGGTGTGGAACGTTGGGATCAATTCGGCGAGGCGGAGCCTGCATAAGGAGATTCGGTTACCGCAATTGCTTTGCTCGCATCCAATCAGCAACAACGAAGATCTTTATCGCGATCAATCCAGCCATCGCGAGTGAGACGACTTCAATGTTGTACCCTTCGCCATGCCTACGCCATCGTACCCTCGCGAGCACGAGTTGTAACGGGCGCTGATTCGGCCTGTCGCACGTCGCGAACGCGCGAGTTCGTTTGCCAACCCTGGCTGGTTGCCTACTTTGACTGGCGCACTACCCCCTTCAATTTCTCCTCACTGCCTTCACGCCGCTCGCCATACTCACGCCGCGACGACGACATCAGCGCGACGATCCGGCGCTCTGCCGTTGAGCGCGCGACAAGGTACGACGCTAGGCGCCATTCGTCCATCAGTCCCGGCAAACCCGCCCTCGCCGCTCTGCACCATGCATGCGCTCACCGCCGCCCTCGCGCGTCCCCTCTCGGCGTCTCACTGCCTGAGCCGCCCTTCCCTAGCCGCCTCTTGGCCGCGTCGCTGCGTTGAGCCCCTCCCGCCTCCCGCTCACACCCCCTCCCCTCCTGCCCGCTCTGCCATGGCCCCTTATGCCCCCTCGTCGTACTGTCCTCCTCCCGTCTCGTCCGTGTACTTCCATTCTCACGCCGCACTCCTAATCGTCTCAAGTTCTCTCCCCCGTGCCTTGCTGTCGCGCGCGCATCAGAGCACACGAAGCGACCTCGAAGAAACCGAGCGGCAGGCGCGCGTGCGAGAGTGGCGACTGCAGCAGCGCGCGGCACGAGCGCGGGCCATGGCGGAGCTGGCGGACTACGTGGTGCCGGGCATCGCCATCACGGCCGCCACGGCCGTCACCTTCATCGCCGTCAGCTTCAACGAGCTGCGCGAGGTGCGGGCGCTGTGGGGCGCGAGGTGCGGGCGCTGTGGGGCGCGAGGTGCGGGGCGCTGTGGGGCGCGAGGTGCGGGCGCTGTGGGGCGCGAGGTGCGGGCGCTGCGGGGCGCGAGGTGCGGGGCGCGAGGTGCGGGCGCTGTGGGGCGCGAGGTGCGGGTGCTGTGGGGCGCGAGGTGCGGGGCGAGAGGTGCGGGCGCTGTGGGGCGCGAGGTGCGGGCGCTGTGGGGCGCGAGGTGCGGGGCGCTGTGGGGCGCGAGGTGCGGGCGCTGTGGGGCGCGAGGTGCGGGCGCTGCGGGGCGCGAGGTGCGGGGCGCGAGGTGCGGGCGCTGTGGGGCGCGAGGTGCGGGTGCTGTGGGGCGCGAGGTGCGGGGCGAGAGGTGCGGGCGCTGTGGGGCGCGAGGTGCGGGCGCTGTGGGGCGCGAGGTGCGGGTGCTGTGGGGCGTGAGGTGCGGGCGCTGTGGTGCGCGATGTGCGGGCGCTGTGGGGCGCGAGGTGCGGGGCGCTGTGGGGCGCGAGGTGCGAGTGCTGTGGGGCGTGAGGTCCGGGCGCTGTGGGGCGCAAGGTGCGGGCGCTGTGGTGCGCGATGTGCGGGCGCTGTGGGGCGTGAGGTGCGGGCGCTGTGGGGCGTGAGGTGCGGGCGCTGTGGGGCACGAGGTGCGGGGCGCTGTGGGGCGCGAGGTGCGGGCGCTGTGGGGCACGAGGTGCGGGGCGCTGTGGGGCGCGAGGTGCGAGTGCTGTGGGGCGTGAGGTCCGGGCGCTGTGGGGCGCAAGGTGCGGGCGCTGTGGTGCGCGATGTGCGGGCGCTGTGGGGCGCGAGATGCGGGCGCTGTGGGGCGTGAGGTGCGAGCGCTGTGGGGCACGAGGTGCGGGGCGCTGTGGGGCGCGAGGTGCGAGCGCTGTGGGGCACGAGGTGCGGGGCGCTGTGGGACGCGAGGTGCGGGCACTGTGGGGCGCGAGGTGCGGGTGCTGTGGGGCGCGAGGTGCGGGCGCTGTGGGGCGCGAGGTGCGGGTGCTGTGGGGCGCGAGGTGCGGGGCGAGAGGTGCGGGCGCTGTGGGGCGCGAGGTGCGGGCGCTGTGGGGCGCGAGGTGCGGGGCGCTGTGGGGCGCGAGGTGCGGGCGCTGTGGGGCGCGAGGTGCGGGCGCTGCGGGGCGCGAGGTGCGGGGCGCGAGGTGCGGGCTCTGTGGGGCGCGAGGTGCGGGTGCTGTGGGGCGCGAGGTGCGGGGCGAGAGGTGCGGGCGCTGTGGGGCGCGAGGTGCGGGCGCTGTGGGGCGCGAGGTGCGGGTGCTGTGGGGCGTGAGGTGCGGGCGCTGTGGTGCGCGATGTGCGGGCGCTGTGGGGCGCGAGATGCGGGCGCTGTGGGGCGTGAGGTGCGGGCGCTGTGGGGCGCGAGGTGCGGGCGCTGTGGGGCACGAGGTGCGGGGCGCTGTGGGGCGCGAGGTGCGAGTGCTGTGGGGCGTGAGGTGCGGGCGCTGTGGGGCGCAAGGTGCGGGCGCTGTGGTGCGCGATGTGCGGGCGCTGTGGGGCGCGAGATGCGGGCGCTGTGGGGCGTGAGGTGCGAGCGCTGTGGGGCACGAGGTGCGGGGCGCTGTGGGGCGCGAGGTGCGGGGCGCTGTGGGGCACGAGGTGCGGGGCGCTGTGGGACGCGAGGTGCGGGCACTGTGGGGCGCGAGGTGCGGGTGCTGTGGGGCGCGAGGTGCGGGCGCTGTGGGGCGCGAGGTGCGGGTGCTGTGGGGCGCGAGGTGCGGGGCGAGAGGTGCGGGCGCTGTGGGGCGCGAGGTGCGGGCGCTGTGGGGCGCGAGGTGCGGGGCGCTGTGGGGCGCGAGGTGCGGGCGCTGTGGGGCGCGAGGTGCGGGCGCTGCGGGGCGCGAGGTGCGGGGCGCGAGGTGCGGGCTCTGTGGGGCGCGAGGTGCGGGTGCTGTGGGGCGCGAGGTGCGGGGCGAGAGGTGCGGGCGCTGTGGGGCGCGAGGTGCGGGCGCTGTGGGGCGCGAGGTGCGGGTGCTGTGGGGCGTGAGGTGCGGGCGCTGTGGTGCGCGATGTGCGGGCGCTGTGGGGCGCGAGATGCGGGCGCTGTGGGGCGTGAGGTGCGGGCGCTGTGGGGCGCGAGGTGCGGGCGCTGTGGGGCACGAGGTGCGGGGCGCTGTGGGGCGCGAGGTGCGAGTGCTGTGGGGCGTGAGGTGCGGGCGCTGTGGGGCGCAAGGTGCGGGCGCTGTGGTGCGCGATGTGCGGGCGCTGTGGGGCGCGAGATGCGGGCGCTGTGGGGCGTGAGGTGCGAGCGCTGTGGGGCACGAGGTGCGGGGCGCTGTGGGGCGCGAGGTGCGGGGCGCTGTGGGACGCGAGGTGCGGGCACTGTGGGGCGCGAGGTGCGGGTGCTGTGGGGCACGAGGTGCGGGCGCTGTGGGGCGCGAGGTGCAAGCGCTGTGGGGCGACAGGTGTGGGGCGACAGGTGTGGGGCGACAGGTGTGGGGCTACAGGTGTGGGGCCACAGGTGTGGGGCCACAGGTGTGGGGCCACAGGTGTGGGGCGACAGGAGTGGGGCGAGCGCTGTGGGGCATGAGGTGCGGGGCGCTGTGGGACGCGAGGTGCGGGCACTGTGGGGCGCGAGGTGCGGGTGCTGTGGGGCACGAGGTGCGGGCGCTGTGGGGCGCGAGGTGCAAGCGCTGTGGGGCGACAGGTGTGGGGCGACAGGTGTGGGGCGACAGGTGTGGGGCGACAGGTGTGGGGCTACAGGTGTGGGGCCACAGGTGTGGGGCGACAGGTGTGGGGCTACAGGTGTGGGGCCACAGGTGTGGGGCCACAGGTGTGGGGCCACAGGTGTGGGGCGACAGGAGTGGGGCGAGCGATGTGGGGCGCGAGGTGTGGGGTGAGAGGTGGGCGACAGGTGTGGGACGCGAGGTGCGTGCGCTGTGGGGCGACAGGTGTGGGGCAACAGGTGTGGGGCGCGAGGTGTGGGGCGTGAGGTGTGGGGCGAGAGATGTGGGGTGAGAGGTGTGGTGCTGCTGGCTGTGGTGGTTGGTGCACGTGCAGCGAAAAAGGTACTGAGGGCCCCCCATAGGGCCTTGAAAGGCACGTGATGGCCGCTTGAGACGGCCCCCATGAATGCCTGCCAGCTAGCCAGCTAGCCCGTTGGTGCACCTGTCCGCCCGCTCTGCACCGCGGGAAGCCCGTGACCAACTCGACAGTGCCTCCTGAAGCTCGACTGTCTCGCCGCCTCCTGGCGCGTGCAGATGGCAGATGGTGCGGACTGACTCACACCCACCTCGTGCCACCACAACTCGCTCCTAAGGCCGTGCTGGCTGCGCTGAGTACGAGAGAGCTTGTCGTGGCGCCAGGCTTTGTTGTCAAGCTTGTTCTCATCGCTGTATGGACGACTGTGCGAATGTTTTGGGGGTACACGTGCAGCAGGAGGCACATCGGTGCTGGCTTGTCTCAATGTGCGTGCGCTGGTAGATGTGAATAACTGTCTGGAATTCTGATGTTCCGGTCCTGTTGCCTCTTGGAATCTGCGGCTTGTGAACGACACCAATGGAACTCCCACCCGGTGTCAAGCTGGGATCCCCGTGACTCCATGAAGACGCAGGGGGTGCAGAATGTTATTGTGACGGGTGGTAACATGTGCGGCCCTGTGTCAGTCGCAGGCTGTTCTGTCTCTCTGCTTCTGCGCATCTCTGCAGGGGTCCTCGGCGTAGGGCAGATATCATTGGCCACGGCTATGGTGCATACTGTATCTTCTCATCCTTCTTCCTGCTTGCACCTGACCCTGTACCACAGAAATCAGTGCGGCAGCAGGAGTTGAAGCAGCAGGCGCAGCTGTTGGAGGAGCAAGAGGGAGTGGTGCTGCGATCTAGCTTGAGCGCCAGGGAGAAAAGAAAGGGGCGCAAAAGAAGCAAGTCCTCATGATGATGCCATGCTCCTAGTTGTGGTAGTGGGTGAAAGAATGAATAGAAGAAGAGAGAACAGGGGAGATATAGCGTTTGGGTTGTACCCACTAAGAACATACCCTATTAGCCTATAACTTCTACATTGAAGTAAATCGTCTGATGTTGTAGTAGACTAAGTATAAAACTATAAACACAAACACTTGGCAATTCCTCAAGTGTTGGTCCAGGATCTTTACTGGAAAGGTAGACTAGTAAGCAGGCCCTCATATTGGTTTTAGGGAGGCTGATTGCTTAGGGTCGCCCATGTGAGAGCCCATGTTTTTCAGGGTCGGGATTTGGGCATGGCATGTTTTTTCAGGCCAATTGTTTTTTTTAGTCTGACTTATCAGGCCTACATTTTTGTAGTTTCTGATTCTTAGGTCGGATCGGACTTCACTGTGTACAATTCTTCTCGTCAGATTCCTGCCTGATTTTAACTAAGGACCAATCAACCCCCTCACACCTCCTCCAGCTCGCCTGGAACTTGTGTGATTCTGGTTAAGGACCAATCACGCCCCCCACACCTGTTGTAGCTCGCCTTGAAGTTCCGTAATTGTGGTCAAGGACCAATCACGCCCCTCACACCTGCTCTAGCTCGCCTCGAACTTGCGTCATTTTTTGTCAAGGACCAATCACGCCCCTCACACCTGCCCCACCTCGCCTCGAACTTGCGTGATTCTGGTCAAGGACCAGCCATGCCCCTCACACGTGCTCTAGCTCGCCTTGGCAGATAAGATTCAGATTCAGGGCGAATTTCGAGTAAGGCTGATTCGTCAGGCTCGGTAAAACAAGAACATACTATTTTTCAGGCCTTAGAAAATGGGAACACATAAATTTCAGGTTTGATAAAAATCAAAACCTGAAAAATCAGGGTATGCCCTAGAAAACACCCTGATATACAGGCTTTCAGGCCTTTTTGGCCTGACTTCTGAGGCCCTGCTAGTAAGACAGCGGAAGTCTTGTAAAATGTAAGGTTTAATAACTTGAGTATGTGAACTTGTGTAATCAAAGTTAATAATGATAAAGACCTGACAGGGATTTATAGTTCTAGGAAAAGTACCTATTCGCTAATGTACCTGTTCGTCACTATCGCAGTATGCGCCCTAGATGATAATGAAGAGGTGCGACTGTTCGCGTGACTGAAATGACTGTCCTATGACGAGCGCTATTTGCTGACGTCATCCTACGGACTTATCTTCTACAGTATGACTCGACACTAACTACACTTCATCGACTTACAGAAATGCTAAGTACCAATTATATCACAACACTCCCCTTCATTTATGGAACGTCGATAGTGTCACTTCTTGAAGATTCCGCAGAGCTTGTTACAGTACTGAAACTTCTGTCGTGTCAGCTTCTTCGTGAGAAAATCGGCAGCCATTTTGTTGGTCGAACAGTAGACCAATCGCATCCTCCCCTTCTCGACTTCATCTTTGACGAAAAAGTAACGAAGCGAAATATGCTTCGTTCTGTTGACGAAACCAGGTTGATGTGCGATGCGAATTGCACTTTGATTGTCGCATTGTAGGGTAAACTGGGTAGTTGTCGTCAACTTCGCTTCTTCCAGTAGTTCCTGTAAGTAAAGTCCTTCGCGTGTTGCTGTGCAGACAGCAATAAACTCAGCTTCAGCAGAGGAGAGTGCAATTAGCTCCTGCTTCGTAGAATTCCACGAGATAGGTCCGATAGGTTCCAGTCGATAGATGAACCCAGTGCGCGACCGTCGATTAGTAGACTCAGCAGCGTGATCGGCGTCGACAAAACCGTGTAGATAGAGTGTTTTACAGCCGATAACGTTGTAGACTAATCCGACGTCAGGTGTCGAGATGAAATATTGAAGCGCGCGGAGTAGATCGAGCTGATGCTCCTCCTCAGGACAGCGTAGGAATTGAGCGAGCTGACTGGCCGCATAGGCTAGATCAGGACGACAAGTGGCAGCTGCGAAAAGTAGACAGCCTACAGTGACGAAAACATTTGTCCGGATGTTTTGCACAGTTTAGGGTTTTTGTGCTTTCTGGCTACTGTACATAAAGTCTTAATGTTTAATGGTGGTACGCTTTGGGAGGGGCACATAGTGGATGTGTTCTTAGTGTGAAATTCCATAATAGTACACTGCATCTAATTTTGTGCCAAAAGATACACAAAGAGTACATCTGGACAATTGTTTCCCAGGTAAAAGAGCAAACTTCCGAGGAGCGTTTCTAGTACCTATTCCACCGACATTTGGCCTTGATCACCACCCGCACCCTCCTAGGCATGTTATCTATGAGGTTAGTGCAAACCTTTACAGGGATCTTCTTGCACTCTTCCTGGATCCACCCTTTTGCATAAGGGGGTGAGCATTAGGAAAATTGTGAAGGATTTGAGCGTATGCAAGACTATTGTGCACGATTTATGATTGAATGTTATCTCTGAGACTAGCCACGCTGAGGTGTGGCCAAAGATGCCATACGTTGATTGGTCCCATCTTATCATGGATCGTCTTCGTCGTACCGTTGTAAGGTAGAATCACGAGCAGAGTGGCGAACACTAGCGTATCCGCCGCAAAACTTAGGGGAACATAGCACGGTTGAGTGTGCACCCTTGCACTATTAGACTGACGCTAGGATCCGTAGATCTCGTCACGGTGCAGCAGTCAAAGGAGTCGCGACTGTTCAGAAATAATATCCGGGTTGAGGTCTGGTAAGGAAAATGGTCACTCCAGCGCAACATACGCATGCTCTCCAAACCATTTTAAGCCATGTGTCTTGCCTAGGCTTGGAATGGCTTGGAGAGCATGAGTTTGTAGCACTGGAGTGACCCTCTTCCTCACTAGACCTCAACCGGGATATTCTTCCCCACCAGTTAGTGCTTCTTCGACTGCTGCACCGTGACGAGACCCGTGGATTTTTGCGTGATTCTATTAGTGAAAGATTGCTCAGTCGACTGTGCTATGTTACCCTAAGTTTCGTGGCGGATACGCTAGTTTTCACCACTCCACTCGTAATTTTACCCTACAACGGTACGACGAAGACGATCCATGATAAGACTGGACCAATCGACGTATGGCATCTTTGGCCACACCTCAGCATGGCTAGTCTCAGAGATAACCTTCAATCAGAAATCGTGCACAATAGTCTTGCATACGCCCAAATACTTTGCGATTTTCCTAGTGCTCACCCCCTTATGCAAAAGGGTGGGTCAAGGAAGAGTGCAAGAAGAACCTTGGAAAGGTTTGCACTAACCTCATAGATAACATGCCTAACAGGGTGTGGGTGGTGATCAAGGCCAAGTGTCGGTGGACTAGGTACTAGAAACGCTGCTCGGAAATTTGCTCTTTTACCTGGGAAACAATTGTCCGGATGTACACTTTGTATATCTTTTGGCACTAAGTTAGATCCAGTGTACTATAATGGATATTAGAGCTGTGAACACATTCACTATGTGTCTCTCCCAAAGCATACCACCATGAAAGATTAAGACTTTATGTACAATTGTCGGAAAGCCCAAAAATCATAATTAATGCAAAACATCCGGACAATTGTTTCCGTCACTGTAGTTGCTGCTGATAGATCTGTAAACCACTTGAAGTTAACGGTGCGGTGTTCGGTTTGTAGTCAGTCGGTAGTGAGCGGTACGGTGTAGAGACTGTAGTAGGCGTGAGGTTGAAGCGGGCAGCGAGTGTTGCTGCATACTTAGACGCGGTGAGATGAATATTTGTCGGTGAACTGGTAATGTTCAGGCCAAGAAACTGTGAGACTGTTTCGGAGACGGTAATCTGTAGATTTTCCTGTAGTTTCAGTATGAAGATGTTAGCGAGGGAATCGGTAGTACTGACGAACAGGATGTCGTCGACGTAGGCAACGAGTAAAATGTAGTTGCTGCCGTCGGTCAGTCGATACATTCCCTGATCATGCGGTAACTGTCGAAATCCAGCAATGATCAGCTGCGAGTGAAGATACTGCTGCCAGAGCCGTGGTGCCTGATTAATGCCGTATAGAGATTTTTGGAGACGGCAAACGCTTGGTGGGTTAGTAGTGTAGGAATGCGGGTACTCTACCAGGATAAGCGCGTCGACAGGCGCGTAGAGAAACGCATTCGAGACGTCGATTTGTCGAAGTCGGAGATTGCGGCAGGCGGCAACACATAGTAAAATCCGGATGCTTGTATGTCGGCCGACATGAGCAAAGGTTAGTTCATAGTCGATGCCGTAAGTCTGCTCGAATCCGCGGATGACCCATCGTGCTTTGAACTTTTCAAACGACCCATCTGCGTTAGTCTTGACGCGGAAGACCCATTTTCTGGTAAGTACCTTCTTCCCTTTAACCTCTGAAGTCGGTACTAATTCCCATGTGCCGCGACTCTTGAGCGCTGCTAGCTCCTTGTCCATGGCTTCGCACCATTTTTCTCGGTGAGGACTCGTAAGAGCTTGTCGAACGGTTTTCAGTTCAGGTATCTTACTGTCGTTGCGTTGTACTGCTACTGCAAATCCCAGTATCTGCAATCCTGTTTCTGTAAAACGTGGACGTTCTTCGTTTGCACCTGCGAAATTTTCTTCTGGTCCTTCTTCCCCCCCAATTTCGTCAGGTGTAACACGAACTGCTTCGTCGGAGACGACGGGCATTGGCTGCTGTTGGCGATCGCGTTCGTAACTGAGATGGACTTCGCGAACGTCAGCGGGGTCAGCATTGGCAAGAGGAATGAACTCAGGTATGCCAGTCGAGGTTACAGGTTCGGGAATGTCAGTTGCGGCAGCTTCGGATGCTTCAGAAACTGCTTCGTCCTGTATGTCAGCTTCAGCCTCGTCAGTGGCAAACGCACGCGAGTCTTCGAACAGCCTGGCGGGGTTGGCAGCTTCTGCTTGGTGGGCACGAAAAACGGGCAAGGTGAGTCTTTCATAGAAAAGACAATCACGTGATGGAACGATTTGGTTGGAGCGGAGATCCAAAATCTTCCACGCGTGATACTGTTTTTCGATGCCAAGATGTACCCCCCATTTTGCTCGTTCAGAAAATTTGCCGAGAGCTGCAGTTGGAGGACGAAACTGGACAACACACCCGAAAACTCGTAAAAGTTTTGTACTCCCAACTGTACGTGTCCACTGCAGGTGCGGAGAAGAGAACTCGGGCAGGGATGTTGAAGAAAGAAGATTGTGTAACAGCACGGCGTGGTCCATCGCATATGGCC